TATATTAAATATCATTTAATATTTCGAATTAATTCATTAATTGTGGCACAACCACAACGGAATTCAGCAAACCACTTCATATCCATTCATTTCGGAATGGAATTTGAACGTAAAAATTATTCAATCAGCACTCGAAATCCGCATTTTTCGCATACCCCACAATAACCAATTCAAGTCAGACTTGATTTCCTGGCATTTTTCGAAGTGATAGGACCCCTTAAGCCTTTAAGGGGAATATCCGTTAAGAAATCCAGAACTTGTATGCAGTGTTGAAAAAAAAAACTAAGTACTGAGATGTCTTACGAGTACGTGTATGTAATTTCTTGATACTATATTTCGTCTAGAGATTTTTTTGCGAAGCTCTCCGTCGTCCTTTTTGTCGTTCGACGCTTAAGTGGAACTGGATTTTTTGACGTCGATATCTTTTACAGCATTAAGTGTTATATGTAGTTGCGTTATCATGTTGAGACGATAGAAACTGTACTGTTGTTTTATAGGCAGAGCTTCTGTAAACCGAATTGAAACCGCGTAATAAAAATATAGATATATATATATTTTTTGCAAAAGTTTCTAATCAATCTTTTCAACTTTTCAATTTCATACATGCAGACTCAAGTGGACAGCAGCTGCTCTGCCTTCGCCCACGCAACAGTTTGATCATCACGCCGATCAACTGCAGCAAAACTGTCGATACACGAGCACAGTGCCGCCGAACACAGCGCAAACATACGACGCCGTCATGTATGAAAATTCATGTTCATATCAAACGGCGCTCGATCTGAAGCGTGTCTCACCGCCCACGCTGGCGCAAGTGAAGACCGAAGATTGCCTACCGCTCGGACAATGCTCGCCCGATTGGTCCACATATCGCTTCCATCAGTCCACATTCGAACAGTTGAAGCAAAGCGTAGAGAAAGCGAAAGCGGCGTTGCAGGATCGAAGTGGTTTCTTTGGGGCATCGAGTGCATTCAGGTGGGCAAACATGAGTACCTAGTTGCAAATTTACAAAATTATTTAAATATATTTTTTCTGCGTCTCTCTCTCTCTATCCCGTGTCCCATTAGCGACATCTACTCGACGCAACGACTAAGCGACACGCTCGGCGATACGCTGCCCAATGTACAGTCGACGAATGGCGGCAACTGTATTGGCATTGTACACAACAGCAGCGGTTTGGGCTGTAATACGGTGGCGAGCACGCCGAGTCTGGTGCTGAATGGCAATTGCATAACCACCGTTTCATCGGCCACAACGGGGCAGCGTTATCGCTTGGATAGCCTACAGCCAGTGACCGGTTGCTCGCCCGTCTCCCAGCATGGTCTCATCAGCACAAGCAGCGCGCCGCCACCGCTGACGCCAGGCGCGCTGGATGCGAACAGTGTGGTGGTGGAGAGCAAGTCGAGAGGTGAGTACAATGAAGTTTTTCTATTTTTACACAAAAAAAAAAACAACAAAAAATGAGGGAATATTAATATTTTACCCCTTACATAAATACCGGAAGTGCATTTCCTAAAAAATTTCGGAAAACATTTTACTTTGCTACATATTTAATGTACAAGTAATATATACAATTCCGGCTTACAGCATATTTTGAGTTAAGAAAAAGGATGTCTGTAGTTACAAGCATTTGCACGATCATAATTTGCTAATTCAATTTTCACAAGTTTTGCTTGTAGCAGCTCACTTATTTTGCTCATTTTCAGATTTTTGTTATTTCTTAGTTTCTTTGTTTTTTTTTGTTTTGCTCCAAAAGCAGGCTACTCGAAGGCCGAGCATTCGTCGTCGTCGGTTGCCAAAATTGTAAAAACATCATTAAATTGCAATTTTTTTGCCACATTTTTTGTGATGAATTTGCGCCAAACATGCAAGCCGCCAGTAACACGGACATTTCACATTTCCAAATAACTACACCAGTCAACACAGACACACTTACATATGTACATACATTGAATTGCTACACTTTTGATGTGTCTATTTGTGGCGCTGACGTCGTTGCAACTAGGAATAGTCAAAAAAGTGTGCCTGCAACAAAATCACTTAACTCGTACGAGATACAAAAAGGCAGCTAGTAATACAAATTGCACAACAGTGATAAAGAGAGAGAAAAAAAATGTATAAAAGAGTATGAGCCAGTACCAGCCATAAGCTTAAACACTTAGGTGCTTGCATACTTTTGTGCACCAAAAATACGCCGCACCACTTCCCCCCTCCCCCCCCGTTTGTAGCTATAATAAAATTGTGAAGCCTTCATTCAGCAATGTGTCCTCGCATACCTTATGGCCAGCCTGCCATATATAAGTCCCACTCCTTTTGGCCAACGACATCGCCAGTGGTCAGCGCTCTCGCTGCAATTTGATACACTTATCGCCGCTTAGTATGAGTTCGTGCTTATGTGGCTGAGTGCCGGGCGTGACAGTTCGCGGTTTACCACCTTCAATTGTTTTATCCGCCGAAATTTATTATTTTTCACAATATTTTGCCAGCTTGTTATAAATAAAATTCCCGTACCCAAGNAAAAAAAAAAATCCGGTACTGGTATCCGTCGGAATTATAAAACTTATTATATTTTAAGACTTCCGCCAAAATATTTCGGAAAAATTTTAAATATCACCAAATTCCCATAACGTATTTTGATTGGGCGGATACAATTTTTAAACATTTTTATGTAGACCTTATAAGCTTAAACTCTTATATCAGCTGATGCAATTTCTGGTAAAATATTTTTTAAGAACTAGTTTTATTTAAAAGAAAATCGATTTTTGATGCTATTCACAAATCGGCACAGCTCACGTAAATGTTATCTAATACTTTAGCGAAATATTTTGGTGGAGTCTTAGAATATAATAAATTTTATTATTCCCGTGGAAAATCGACACCTTTTTTGGCGTGTCACCTTAATGTATACATATATGTGTCTACATATTACCGCCAACAGGTTTTTAGGGAAATCATAAAATTCAACGAGATTTAAGATTTACTTTATTTCACTAGACAAGTTTTAGTAGCACTAGGGTGGTCCAAAAAGAGTAAAGTCGGAATTGTAATGCTCTTACCACCTAGGATTGTTCTATATCGAAAAAAGTATACCCCTATTTTTTTCTTTTTAAATAAAAAAAATATTTAGAGGTCGCTCAAAGCGCTCAAAGTTTTCCGTGTATTTTTATATGAGAAAAATAAAATTTTTCGTAGAAATGGTATAGAATTCTTGAAAATCAATACTTTTAGATCGGAAAACTCTGGTTCTCTTCAGGATATTTTCAATTATAATACCCAATTGTTTATTTAACCATATTTTAATACTAACGGGTTTTTTATTGGTCGCCTTATTGCATATTTGGAGGTTTTTGTGGGTTTTTTGCGGACCTATAAATTATAGTTGCGATGAAAAAATGGTCAAATAAACAATTAAGTATTATTATTGGGGATCTCCTGCAGATAAACAGAGTTTTCTTGTCGAAAAATATTAATTTTTCACTATTCTTTACCATTTCTACGAAAAGTTGTTTTTTCCTCATATAAAATACGTGGAAAACTTTTGGCGCTTTGAGCGACCTCTAAATATTTTTTGATTTCAAAATAAAAAATAAGGGTGTATTTTTTCGATATAGAATAATCCTATGGGGTGAGAGCATAAAAATTCCGACTTTACTTTTTCACATGCATTTTTGGACCACCCTATAGTGCACTCGTTGTATCTATTCGATACTCTCGACCACGAGAACAGACCCACAGATCTTGCGTAGAATAGCTTTCTTAAAAGCTCCCAGAGCTTCCTCTTTCTAAGTTGGTCTATGATGTACTTAGTCTTTATTAGCTATATACATATATAGTCGCAATGGGACCCTTTACTCAGTATCCTGCTGTAATTGACGTACATTGAAGGATCTTGCTTTTTATAACGCTCAGTCTTAGTCGTGTGTAGGAGTGTGAACCTCTTCCCATTACATGGGTCTAGTTTCTTCTTTCTCTCAAACTCACTACTCGTGTCACCATTTCAAATCGTTGAGAAGCCTTGCCTTCATATCCCATATGCACTTTGGACGTCTTTTAGCAGACTAGCCACATTCTAGTCTCCCGCATCTCAAGCTGTTCGCAGTCACGTCCTTGCCCCTCATAAAATACGTATATTTTCGTACTCCTCGTCGTTCCAGTTAATTCTGCATGACATGGTAGTAATCAACAAAAAAATATAAAGGATTGGGATTTGGAATTCCACTGCTCCTTTTTGTCCAGGCGATGAGGAGTTTCTGGTTTACGTAAGATTGAATAATGAGAGCGAAATTTGTTTGCTACCCTTGTGACTACAGCTTTCCAACGTCAGAAAGTACTTTCGTCGTGCCGCCAAATGCACGTACTTTATCGCGGGGAGGCGCATGCGGATCTTAGCTGCAACAAGGTAATTATTCGAGTCGATGTTGTCTCATCGTATGGAACGCTGGAAGCGTTTCTTCCGCCTATGATAACGTGATCAAATTTGTTCCTCATTCTTTGATCTAGGGACACCAAAATAGTTTTATGGATGTTTCGATGCTGATGAATGGTACGATTTTTACATCGCGCCATGGACAGCGCTCGTACGCTTCTTCCATGTACTTATAGAAACGTTTCTTGATCTCTTGGTCCTTCTCCTCATTCGGAGCGTGCTGCTGTTGTTGAATTTAGCCTAAATGGGGATTGTTGCTGGAGGTTCCGCCCAACAACAAACTCATCATAAGAGTGTAGATGTAAAGATGTATATCTATAGATATATATTTGCAGCGGAACGCTTGCTCCGATGCCCGGTTGGACTGGTAACTGCCGCTGCTGACTTCAGTGAGTCCTTAAACCGAATAATTCGTAGTGGCCTCACCGAGGTTCCATCTATTTCGACCGCGACCCATAGCTCCAAATCAGTGTTGATTTTAGAAAAAATTATCGTACTTAAAATAGTACCTAAAAACTTTGCTTTATTTTAATTAAAAATAAATTCTCACCATTTCATAAGAATTGCGACTTTTTGAATCTGAACCGCATTGCCGCTGGAGATTAAACTATGTAGTGGTCAAGGCATATTAAACAGGTAACAGAGTAGTTTAATATGCTTTGGTAGTATTGGTCATCCCTATGGATCTATATCGGAACAAATAGCTATGCAAAAAAAAGGCGCAGCACCGCCTAAATTCCCGGTTTCGCAATCGATTGGAAAGATGATGACTACTATTTTTATTGATGCACAAATATTGATGCAAAAATATGATTTCGAAATAATGAACCACGATACCTTCAATAATCGGACGTCCTCACATCCGACAACTGGAATTTAAGTGTTCTCTCTCTAATCTGCAAGAAAGGCAACCGCACCATATGCGTCAGCTATCGCGGGATCAGCCTCTTAAACGACGTGTATAAGGTCTTAATGAGTGTTTTGTACGAAAGGCTAAAGTCTATCATAAACGAACTGATTGGGCCTTATCAGTGTGGCCTGAGACTAGGTAAATCCACCATACATTAGGTATTAACCATACGTCAAATCTTAGAAAATGCTGGCGAAAGGAAACTCTGCACACATAATCTCTATGCCACTTCTACAACCGCTTCTGCAGGATGAAAAAAAGGATGCCTTTATGCCGCGATGTCTGAATTTGGTATTCCTGCGAAACCACGAACTGCGAAGTACTTCTCCGGGCCGTTTGATACCAAACAAGGTTTCAGAAGGGGCGACTTCTTTTCGTGTGATTTCTGTAATATGATATTAGACTTAGAATTTTCATCTGTCTGTCTGTCCGTCTGGCTGTCTGTATGTTTGTATGCGCATCACTTGAAAACTAATGCACGGAATCGAATGCAGTTTTACCGATGTATTGCTTGAGCTTTAACTTAAAATATAGAAGAAAAAAGTTAAAGAGAGTTGCCACCTGTTTGAAAATTGCAGTTTAGGTAAAGTTATTAGATAAAATTAGTCATTGCAATATGGCTGTCAAAAGAAAAGAGCTTCAGAAAGCTAACAGATGAAACAAAAAATTTGTGGAAGGTTGCCAGCTGTTTGAAAATTTTGATATAAAACTAAAGATTTTTAGTTGATTCTCGAAAATATTTTTGAAGCGGGTTGTCATCTACATCATATTATGTATTTGAAAAATTTTATTTAATTAAATTAATAAGATAAGGTAAATTTTGAATCAGTACGAAAGTGACGAAAGTGCGCAATATGCAGACTCGAGTTATAAAAATTTAAACTAAATTTTCAGAAGCCGGCATATTAACTTACACCCGCTTCCATAAAAAATGTGGAAAGAGTGCTTCATAAATCGAAATTTTTTTTTAAACTCACTTCGTAAAGCTCTTTAAATATATTTTATTTTTTTGTGAATGAGGCCATACAAGTTTGAGACGGAGTAACAGCACAAAAGTACTTTTAAGGCGCAG